GCGGGAAGGGAGATGGACAGAGATTAAGGCCGCTAGGAAAACAAACACATCAAAAGAAAATATCCACCATGTTCACACAGAATGCCCCCCCCCCCCAAATACAACTTCCTGTGTACTTGAGTTGCTAGGAAGAGCCGCACATTTACTAAACATTTAAACAAGAAATAAAATAGGAAAAAGGGGGAGGGGGGACAGGAAATGAGAGAGTAAAAGGAAAGATAGAGAGAAAGAGAAGAAGATGAAGATCAGAAGCGAGGGTTAGAGACAATGCAGGAGACGGGAAGGAAGGAGCAATAGGTAGAAGAGTGAAAGAGGGAGGGAAGAGAGAGAGAGAGGGGTGAGACAACAGAAGAGGGAATCTCGGGGAATTACAATACTGATCGCCAAACACACTGTAAAGATAAATCCAGGCCAAAAATAGAACTGGGAAATCCAGCTGCAGTCATTTTTCTTAGCCCCAATGCCATCTCTAATTAATAGAGAAGGCCATGCTTAGCCCCACCATGTCGACTCTATTTATAAATACAACTGAACCAAGCCCCACCATCTCCCAATGTAATCCTTTCTAGAAACCACGGCCATAAACGATTTAAACTGTTCATTCTGCCCAACTTGCTAGAAACAAAGGCACACACACACACACACGCGAGACGGAAGCTGCTCCTTCCCGTCCCATGCCACACTGCTGCTGTCTGCATGTATTCATGATCTGTAACAAAGCCCGCCCTCCCCTGGCCTTTAACAAGCCATTTCGTCTGAAAATAGCCAATAATCAGCTGCCCTCACACCTGAAACGACCATACAATGAAAGTAGCCAAAAACTAGCCGAATGGCCAAAAAAGCCAAATGGCCCCCCCAAAATTGCCTGTGCTTGAAAAACACAGGATTTCTGACGATTTCATTGCCGTGGTCAAAATTCACGGCTTTTCAAGGTCGGAATGTCTTTTATAAGCTAAAAATCCCGGTTTAAGGTCAACGAAAAAAATCCCGGTAATTTCCCGATTTCCCGGTCCACTACGAACCCTGTAAAAACTCGTATGAAATTTTAACTAAATCTATGATGGCATACAATCACTAGTAAGCCCCCCGTGTGGGTTCCGGGGCCCTATTGTGAGGAAAACAAGAATAGACCCACTGCCTCCCCAAAAGCATGTCGTAAGAGTCGACTAACTGGGGAGCTTCCTTTGAAGTCGGAGTGCATCTGCCTGAGAGGCAAGGAACCAGCAGTCTACATTCAATTGAATCAGATCTGTAAAACTGATGCACACGCAACACTCAGGTTCTGGAGTAGGACTCCAGTCCAGAAGTGGACGAACAACCAGAACTTTACGCCAGAGTGTACAGCTGGTGAACGCGAAGAAGAAGAAGAATCACTAGTAAGCATAAATTTAAAGTCTGCGGTTAAATAAGTACATACTCGTAAATAAGTACATACTCGTATTTTTCAGATGGAGTGGGAGGTGATTCCATAAATGAGCAGCAGAATATGACAAACTTGTTTTATATGGATATATTCTAGGCTTTGGCAAACATTTAGCCGTTTGCTGTTCTCAGGGTTGGCGTCAATTAACCGTAAAAGATAATTTGGAGTGTTCTGAGCAAAAATGTTATGAATAAATTTGGCTTAATTAAAAATTAATCAGTTTTTTTTTTAAATTGAAGAATTCTTAGATGGCCTTAAAAGTGATTTTTTAGATGTATTTACTTTCAGATGCTAGGCGTAAAGCGCGGTTTTGTAAGGAACACAGTAGTTTTACGTTAGATTCAGAGCAACCATCTCAGGCTATGGAACAATAATCGATATGTGTTTGAATGTAGGATACGTAAAATATTTTTCCCAGAAAGTGGTGAATTGGGCCTAATTGATAAACTTTGTTGTCCTACTTTTTGGGTTATGGCATGAACATGAGAATACGATGTTGGATTGCTATCATTTAAAACACCTAGTTTTTGTGTTCATTAACATTTCTAATAGGTAATTTGTCAACACAGAGCTCAAGAGGAGGCTTGTTTAAGTCTAATGTCTGTAACTGTTAATATTGCCATCCTTCCCCGTAAGTTCCCTTTATAACTAGATTTCGCATAACGTTTTCACCATATAAGGAGGAGGAACGATCTGGAGACATTACACAACTCCGTTGCACTACTCTCTTGACTAGCTGTCACAGACTTGTTTCATTATCGATTCTTATAGAAGCATGTTATTTTTAGTGTGTGTTCTTAATCAGTCTAAGGTCTTTCTGATAAATTTGTAGACTTATAAGCATTGTTATCATGTCAATCATATCTCATTTTATCAAAAGATTGTGTGTAATCGATGAAGCAGAGATGAAGATATTTAAATACTTCTGTCGAACTTTCTATGATTGTTCTCACCAGGTACACACAACTGGCTGCATTATTGCCATCTACGAATCCATATTGCTCGTCGCCTACTTCTGGTTTTATCTTTTGCCTAACCATTGCATTTGATTCTTAGTAGGGCTGTACCGAATATTTGCTTCGTATTCGTTTCGGTGCCAAATACTTGCGGTCGGGCCGAATACGAATAGTGGTTACCTTACACCTGTTTCTGCATACACTACAATGGACTGAAATAACTTTTATTAACACATTAGTTGCTGTTGCGTAAGTCTGTTGTAGCGCAGGAAACTGTGACCCGGTTGCGTGGTACAGCAGCTGGCAAGGCTTTTGCCTGCTGACTTGGCCGAGGCATTACAGCAGAGGTTCTCAAACTGGGTACATATGACAGAGGTGCCGCAGCGAAAATCAAGAAAAGTCAAATATAAGTTGTGACATTGTTAAAGAAGGCATGCAGATAATTAAAATTTAAAATTTAAATTGTCTTTCCTCACCACTGTCGAAAAGAGTTTTTTTTTTTGTTTTACACTCAAAGTGTATGATACTGCATATAATGCCAACCGCAGCTTGCTAAAAATTGTCTTTGTAAATATATCGAGGAGTGACTGATCATCCATCTGTGTTGGTGAAGGTGTAGCAGAAAAGTGAGTTTGTGGTTACATTTTGGCTGAAATTTTAAAGTGGAAAATGCGGTCTGTACAATAGTAACTATAAGCCTCGTCAAATAAGCACTTATATGTGAATCTTGTTGCGTGGGGGTGTGTCGCACACAAACTAATACATGCTGCAGATTGTGGCTAGGCATAATCGCCTACGCTATTTGGCAAGGCATATGATAGTGATGATATTCTATTCGTATTCGTTTTCTGCCGAATAGTTGTTCCCCATATTCTTTTTCGGCCAATAGTGGTATCGAGAAGCCGATTGTCCAGGAAGCAATGGCAAACTACTGGACGTAAATTTGCCCAGAAAAAAAACAGAACAGCATAAAAGTGCTGGGGTTGGTTCTGCAACGTCCTGTAAAGGATACGCAACTAACTAACACATGTTATACTCATCCTCTCATAGATCCTTTCTTGTCAGATTCACACTTTTAACCCTAAATTCACAAAACCTTACATTTTTATCTCATCTAGTGTGGAATCAATGAAATAAATACAGGAAAAGACACAGCTAAATTCTTGTCTCATGAAAACAAACAGCTATTCACCTGTCCAGTGCTTAAATGGTAGCTAGCAATGGCTACAAGCCTCAGCAGGTCATCGTTGTTTTCAAGGCTCATAGCCTCCAAGAAGGCATCCATCATTTCTGGGGAATTACACGGGATGGCTGTTTCAAGCTGCAATCCAAACTGAGGCATCAGCATGACCAGGTTCAGTATCAGATCTCTGACAGTATCCCATTGTTCCATCTTGTATGCCAGACTATAGGCTTCAGTTAATGAATTCACCGCAGTTAAATTCTGTGGAACAATTAATGTTGCACCAAGCTGGCTTAATAATTTAAGACAAAATAAGTTTGTAAATGAACATAACATAACCCTTGACCCATTAGGGTAGTGGAGGTGTATTGAGGGAAGCACTAGCACATAAAACCCGCTTGATGAATACGTGTATGAAAACTTTGTCCTGTCCATTTCTTGATGTTGTCATTCCAGATTCTTCTATGACCTCCTCTTCTTCGACTACCCCACAATATTCCTTGAAGTACAGTCTTTGCAATATAATGATGTCTCACCACGTGCCCAAATCAGGCTAGCTTGCGACGTTTTACCAGAGCCAAGAGAGGCTCATGATGTCCCGCAGATTTGTATATTTTGTCTCTGACATATTTATTAGTTTTGTGTTCTAAATAACTAAATGTTAAATGTTTCTGTAGCATTTACATTCAAAAGCCTGAAAATTTGCTGTATTCAGCTTGGACATCACGGCTGTTATCATATAAAGTCTTGTCTTTAGCTCTTTGATACAGATGCCATCGTTGCATATGAAGGAGCTATGAAAGATATTTAAAGGTTTAAACTTCTTCTAGTGTTCTTCCCCTTTTATCTGAATGTTAGTAGGTACTTGATTATTGTGACTGTTTCCCAGAATCTTGCTTTTCTCTGCATTAATTTCTATGCCATATTCACGAAAGACTGTCTTTAATTTTGTAGTAAGTTCTGCTAAAGTAATCGCACATACCATACTACAATGTAAACACGTCATTCTGTTAAAGTAATCTCACATACCATACTACAATGTAAAAATGTCATTCTGCTAAAATAATCTCACATACCATACTACAATGTAAAAACGTCATTCTGCTAAAGTAATCTCACATCAACGTACGGAATGAGGCCTACTGTACTAATTTTATACTTCTTTAAACAAATCATACTGGAGAATACAGTGCCCTATAAATTCATAAATAATCACTCAACATAAATTCAAATCATCCACATCTGTTTGATCATAATTTGATGCATTTTTGTTTTCGGTGTTTATAGTAGGGGTAGTAGTAGTGATGCAGGTGGTGATAGTGGTAGCAGAGGTGGTGGTAATGGTGGTAGTAGTAGTAATAAGAGGTAGAAAATGAAGAAGAACTAGATGTACAAGAAGCTAAAAACTCACTTTTAAATTAATTGCTGCTATATCAGCAACTTTTCTTAAAAAACTGATGCTCAGTCTTGCTCTGGGAGTTTGGTCTGGTGTCAGGATCTGACTGCCCACAGAAGTGAACCATTTCGTCCACTTGTTAAATAAGTGCTCAGCTTTCTGCACTTGAGTCCCATCAGTAATCTGAAAATAGGGCAACGAACTTGTCTATAGACCGAGTACTAAATAACAGAGACCAAAATGTATACACAAAAAAGCTGAATCGGAGAAGATCACATGGCCAATCAAAAAGGGGGTGGATACATACAATACAAGCAGACCTAGAAACATTCAGTTATTATATAAAACGCCTTTATTTGGGTGTTTCGTCCTTTTTAGGACATTTTTTGTTATTTGAAGCCCCACCCTGGCTTTTGCCAGGGGCCGCAATATAGGCAGGCCATAAATATGACCAATTGTCTGAACGCGGTTTCTGGGACCTCTCCACGGTGATCCTCATCCACACGGTGGCACTTTGTGTCATCGGGTGTTTAACGCTTGTGTGATGTCCTGGTGGGGTAGAAATTCAGTCAGTCAGTCAGAAACATTCAGATAAAGAGAAAGCCAGTCAGACAGGCTTTAGGCCTATTGAGTGCTAGACTTATATTCTGAACACCAATCGTTACTTAGTGGATGATATGGTCAACAACACATCTGTCGCCTTTACCTCCGAGGATTTGACCTGGTACCCATTTAAGACTTAGTCAAATTGCGGGACACGGCAATATTTGAGAAACTGTTACGCTCTATGAGAATTAGAACCCATGATATTCGAATCGGCAGTCGAGCGTCTACCTGCTACACTGTGGTTGCAATAGAGATAATGGAGCGATCTTATTTCTGCCTCAAAGAATCTAAGAAAAAAATGTCGGCGGTACTTCTTACTTTGTATAGAAGCATATATCGGACGATTGTTTTTTTTTTTTTTTTAAAGAAGAAACTGAGGACAACAGAGATGTTTAAGAGGCATTTTTTTTCCCCAGAATATTCTAAACCAAATGAAACTATTTTTTTCTTAGGGTTTACTATCAATAAATCCGGTATAAAGTTTTGGTTGTTTGTCCGCTTCTAGACAGAAGAGTTTTTAATGCACATCTGTTTTACAGACTTATCTGCCAGACAGACGTTCTCTTATTTCGCATGAAATAAAGTTCTTTAGTCGCCTTTTACGACATGCTTCTTATGGATCAGATAATGGACGTATGCCTTTTTTCCTTAAATGGGTCTCAGATCCCACATGGGAAGGGAATTGAACAATTGCTGAGATAATTACCACTGTAGGCATGACGACTACCCATCCTAGCTACAAGGAAAAGACAAATACACATGGAGCATTTCAACAGAAGACGTAGAAAAAAATGAATGCCAAGCTAGTTATGGGCAAGGTCCTTTGAAAGCAACTAAAATAGCAGAAGATTGGGTAGATTATTAGGCTGTGGGTAAAAGGGTCCGGCGGGGATCTGACAGACACTCTATCACTGAATAAAAGGGGAAGGCGGACATATAATACACTGCTACTGGTAACATTGGAATTAGCTGCAGAAGATGATGACGCAGCCCATTTTGAAATGTTTTGAGTGCAGTGGCATTAGCTCAACTCATATCATAGAGACAACAGGTAGAGAAACATAGATGTGAAACAGCTGGGAAACAAATAATATAAACACTTGCCTAATTTAATTATCAGTAACATAATGAACTGAGGAGTCGTGGCTGCCAATGTCTGCTCCAGACCAAGTTGAGGAACATGAGGTAATGTTTAACTGAGCACAGATTACTGGTTTAATAATCAAAACATAACATACACAGAATAAACATAGATACTATCTCTCTAACGGTTAATGTTTCAAGTTTTAGATGCTGACTGTTTCTGCAGCACATTGATTGAACGCACTTTGTACTCTTCCTCACATATTGTTCTTTCATCATATGCTGCACTTATAGCTTTTGTAGCAATTTTAAAAAATAATTTTTCAACATCAAAAATCCACTCGTTCATTCCGTCTCACTCTGGTGTAGCCATGTCAGTCCTTGGAATTTATACTGGTGATGCTTATTTTTAACTCATTCCTTTAGTTCATTTTTTCCCTTTTGCAAAACCAACCAGTAATCAGACTATGATTCCTGTGGTAACTTTTTTCCCCCATCTGTCCGCTTCAAAGCTGCAGTGATCTGTTGCATCTTTGTGAACAATTGTGTTTTGCTATAACATTTCCCTTTACAAATTGATGTACAATATTGCATCATCCAGTCTATCGGGTAGAATGCTTTGTAACTCTAAAGAAATATTTTGAAAAATAGTCAACTGTTTCTTACCTTTAGGTTAATAACAGTACAAAGTTCACAATACAGGAGACTGCCATATGATGAGATATCCGTAAACAAATGATCGTCGAGTATTGCATCCATTGTTTTCTTTAACAGTCTCAGACATCTCATTTGGTTGAATCTTCGTTAGATGAAAAAGAGGATAAGCAAAAATATAATCCTGCATTCTTCTATAAAAAGACATCAACAAACATGTGTAAAAGCATATTTTTGTTTACCAGGGTAATTATAGACAAGAGGATCAACATCATTGTATTAGGCTTTACCTCAAATAACAGTCTCTCTCTCTCCACAGAGTGGATGGTTGCCCCCTAGAGAGTCACATAAAGCAGAAGCAAAATAGCTCCATTGATGACCCCAGGGATCTCCAAAATAAATACGTTAGAGAACTGAACAACTGAGTCTGAAATTGACAACTTTACCAAAAGCAAACGTCCATAGCGTGGTAAAGTAATTTTGCATAATTGTACAAATTAGACGCGGCGTCCGTAGCTTACGAGTCCGACTCGTAATCCAAAGAACTGCGATCGAAACCCACTGCTGGCTGCGTAGATTTTTATCGTGGTAGGGGGCCTCGCAGGTCGACCCAGCCTAAATTGGGTACCATGATGGCTGTCCTTGGGAAGTCAAGACGGCCGGCGTAATTCTGACCATATTACCCATCAAGCGCCAGTTGGTCCCATATACTCGATGCGCCTAAGGCGTGAAATTAGAAGAAGCAGAGAACAATTTTACACAGCTCATTGATCGTTTATTATTATTATTATTCAGCAATTATTGTTTTCGAAATATATAAAGGAAGCAACATATAAAGATGAACAAAGTGAAACATTAAATGAATACACTTCTAGTGGCCTAAAAATATATGTATCAGGGAGCTGGTGCCAACACCTTGTGATCTCTATCGGTGAGGCAACTGCAAAATTTGACGCTATTTGTCTTTTTAAAACGCTATATGGTATATACGAAAAACCCTAAATGCTATTTTGGTACAAATATTTTTTTTTTTATAATCAGGACCTTGCAACTGTTTATACAAACGCGATCTTGGCCACCAATATAAACCATGCGTTTCGATAACACGTCACTTTAGAAAAGTGGCATTTACGGGAAATTGGACCCAGCTGCAAGTGGACTTTCAGGCTTCTCTGGACCATAATTGAGACCACGCTATAAAAATTGTCTTTAGTCCTTACCTTGTTAATGAATGTGAGGTTCAAAGAAAACACAGCACTGGATATGTGGTACGTGCGGATACCTACTCAACTCTGACACAGATGATGCTCCATGCCATGTTGTCAAACCGCCTAGCATCTTTTTTCTCGGTCTCCCTCTACCTCTCCTCCAGATTTCCTACCGTCACGATGTACTCCAGTTTTCTCCTTCTCCTCATATGATCAAAGATTGTTTACTGTCTCTTTGTGATGTCGGCAATCAGATCGCTTCCTGAGTCAGTTTCTTTTAAGACATATTCATTACTCCTTTTTATCTAAAGGTAAAGTCTGGAGATGTGAACCAGCGTCATTGCACACGGTTAAAAACCTGATGTGCTCTGCCATGAGTACGGACAGCTAATAAGAAACTGTCTGCCTGTGTCACCGTCAGCATACAACTCCGTAGCTGCAGCGACGTCGCTGCATTTACACCAGAGTTTTAACTCTGAGACCCATTACCTAGAGGTTGGGTAAACCACGGGAACCGCTCGGTTTCAAACATAGTCCATGATTGACAAAGACAGGTTGCATAAGATATTCTTTAATTTCTAACATGCTGCCTTAAGCTATTCTACATTTAACTTCTTTATTAATCTTCCACTGGATGTTGTAAGGATATAAGTACTTGAACATATCAACTTGCTTGAGGTTTGTCCCATTTGCTTTGGGAGTCAAGGTCAATATATTTTACCTTCTGTCAGATGGACTCCAGCCGAAGACGTTTGTGCCAGCTGGAGAGCATGTAACTAGTAGGCTACTGTGACGCTCTATCTTTCTTTCCTATACCCCAGCCATTTTCTTTCCTAACATTGCTGAATCCAGACACTAATCCACTTTTCTAAAAACCAAACTTTAGTCACAAGTTGAAGGAAAGTGAGCAATAGACAACGGTGATAGTGGGAGGATAACACCAAGAGATGGACAAACAGCAATCTGAGATAGTGTACGTTCAGTGCCAAAGACAGAGGAAATGTTTAGGAGATCAATAGCAGCTAACCTTCATTGTGAAGATGGCTCCTGATTGATTGAATGATTGATATTTTATAAAATGACTTACATTGATGTATGTTGCTCCAGAATGTGGACAAAAACATTCACCAAACGGTCAGACATGAAGCCAAGGTCTGTTGTGACTGCTTTACAAGCCACATGCCATGTCTTCTCTGTTTTTCCTGTACTCATGTAACTTTTGCAGAGTGACTCATGGTGACTGACATACTGCACCTGTTTTTGTTATATGTCAACAACAAAATGAAAGGTTCAGGGAAGACTGGCGATGATATATTTCTAGAATAATTATGGAAACTCAAAAGCGGTAACTAACAACCTATTTCAAGAATAATTTCGGAAACTCAAGTGTGGTAATTAACAACCTATTCCAAGGATAATTAAAGACACCCAACAGTAGTAATTAACAACATGTTCCAAGAATAATTATAGAAACTCAAAAGCGTTAATTAACAACCTATTTCAAGAATAATTTCTGAAACTCGAGTGTGGTAATTAACAACCTATTCCAAGGATAATTAAAGACACCCAACAGTAGTAATTAACAACATGTTCCAAGAATAATTATAGAAACTCAAAAGCGTTAATTAACAACCTATTTCAAGAATAATTTCTGAAACTCAAGTGTGGTAATTAACAACCTTTTCCAAGGATAATTAAAGACGCCCAACAGTAGTTATTAACAACATGTTCCAAGAATAATTATGGAAACTCAAGAGTGGTAATTAATAACCTATTCCAGGAATACATATGAAAACTCAAGAGTCGTAATTAATAACCGATTCCAACCATAATTATGGAAACAAGAGTATTAAAAACTCATTCTGTACCTGGTAATGCAGCTTGTGTTTCTTCACTTCTCCATACATGATATGCTTGTATTAATTTCCTTTCTTAATCAAGTTCTTACATGAGACTTCTTAGTCCCAGTTGTTACTTAACTTCTCTGTCATTTGGTGTCATTTTTTAAAAATCCCTTTCATTCCAAGAATTTAATAATTTTTAAACAATTACTTTATAACAAATATCCGGTTAAGTAATAGGTTTTTAGAACTAAAAGGGTCCATAGCAGTCGCGCGCGCATTCCACTTTTCATCAGATCTGGAAGTAGTTACTAGTACAATATCATTGCCTTGTGATGACGCATTCTGTTTGATGGAGACTCCGGGGAGGAAAGGATGCGAACCTGCTTGCACAGAGTGTCCGATGGATAGCTCCAGATAGATGGTCGACTCTGGAGGGAATTTATTAAGATGACGGAGGTCTATTTCAAAACCGTAGACGCCTTTATGCAGTTTTTTTTTTTTAAAGTTTTGATCGATTACCTGAACGCCGTAGTGGACAGGTCTGACTAATTTTCAGAAACGACTGGGTGGGTATTATGGCGGTTGTCGCCCCTTATGGTCATTTAACATGATGCGTATGCGACGAGAGAATTTCCTTGGTTGTTAATGCGCCATATCACTAACTTCGAATTTTTCGTCATATGGGTAGTTTTGACATCAGGTATAAAACCCTGATAAAGCAAATGTTTACAAATGATCTAGGCTTCCAGATCGGTCCAGATTAAAATTGGTGCCATTAATAGTTTGAGTGTAAAGCTAGTTAGCCTGATTTAGACAGCAATATACAAGTGACCATTGGTCTGCATAAACATGTCACGGATGCTGAAATCTAGAGCAACAGACCTCTTGAGCCCCCCCCCCCCCCCCCCCCCCCCCACAATTCGTAGCGAGTTGAGCACCCTTTTCCTAGAAAATCACCTTCGTCCTTTTTTCCCAGAATTCTCAGTTAGGTATTTGTTTACACATTTTATACTACTTTAAATATATTTATATATTTAATTACATTTCAAACAATAGCGTATATTATTACGCACTTACACAAGGCATCATGCGCCGCTCCCTCCCAGGATGATTTCTCAGTACTGCCTTTCCTGAAACACAGTGCTAACATCAAATACCCAATATGCCTCAAAATAAAGAAATATGACCTTTAGACCAATTTGGCATGTACATTCTACTTACCAGCTCTTTCATTCTAGGAAATGGCCATAGTGATGATAGCAATTCTATAGCATGCCTGTACAGTTTACGCTCTGTTAGTTGTCTCCCTGTAACTCCAATACTGGTTGCTAGAAACGAGGATACAAAAAAAAATTTTTATGATATCACAATTATGGTTGGAATTGTCGAAGCGAACGAAGTGGCTAGCTGCTCGTCTGCATGCTCGAAGGTTTTGGGTTTTAATTCACATTGAATGAGATTTTCAAAAATTACCTTGGCTTTCAGTTCGAGGCACCCTAAACTGCGTGCCTGGTAATATCATGGAAAGAGTGGCGATTGTAACGATAATTACATCATCATCAAGGTCCAGTATAGTAGTAGGGAGCGGTAATACGGAGCGCATTTCGATTAAGCCGCTTTCTTTATCCATTATTATTATCTTCATAACTGCAGGTGACAGGTGGCGTTATATAAAGGGTGAGGTCAGGAACACTATTTAGGTTAGCAGCAGGTCAGGGGCGACAGGGCGACTAATAGAGTTGGTGCGGGCTTATGGGTTCTGTAATAGACAAAATTAGGAGTGGTTTGTTAGCGGGGGATATATATATGTTACAACAAGTTAGAGGATATGAAAAGAGACTGATAGACGGCAGTGTCGGGTGGCAGAGGGGAGCTGTTTTAAACTTGCGATAAAGAAACCTAGGAAGGCGGCGTGATGACCGTGGATATATTAGAAAGGGCAGCTTGGGCGCCGGCATCATCATCATCTATGTCATGGGAGCGAAGGTCGACCGCTCAGGGAGTGTGTTGTTGTTCGGATCAGAAAATCGATACTTGCAGGCACATTATTATCTTATTAGAAAGGGCGACTCGGGCGCCATCATCATCATCTG